TTTTAGCAACTTTTATTTGAGAAAAACATTACTTCAAGAAGACACTAACACTGGCTGGATGAATGAATATGACCTTCTCTTTGGCTGTCCTCCTGTAGGTGGCCAGAACTTTTCCTGAAGTTGCAAAACACATTTAAAACCTGACTGCCAAAGGTTTACACCTCTTCTATATTTTCATCATTGCATCTAAAGAGCTGCTTTTCAAAATAATTGATGATGGGGTAGGAATTGGGGAAATGCCAAGGTATTTCCAAAATACATATTCCTCAAAAAACATATTAAAACAATTTTCCCTCAGGGAGGGAAAGTTAGTTCTTCTTAGTGCTTGTTTTTGCATAGGGGAGCTCTGGAAGCCTTTGAATACACTTTAAGAGGTTGAATTCTAGGGATTAAGTGATTTCACCAAATACAGAAGAAAAAAAAAAAACAAAACAAGTAGGACTCATGCTTCCTAAATTAATACTTTCAGGAGCGGGAACTGAAGTGCCTCACTCCACTGCTCTGTCCTGAGAATGCAAAACACCTCCCAACTACCAAGCCCATCTCACTCCCAGTTTTGCAAGGCCCAAACAGCAGATGCGGCTTCATGAGTTCAGTGTTCTCTCAGCTCTGCTGCAGAGACCTGTGTGATGAATCCAGCCCTGTGTCCCAAAAACCACAACTTTCATTTGATCTGAGAAGGCAACAGAGAAGTACTGGGGTGTAGAGGGCAAGAAAAGAAAAATATTTTAAAACATTATGGTCTAAAAGAGTTCAAAAGTTAAAAATGCCATTTAAGATGATTGTTTAATTTCCCTTTTATTATTCAGAAATAATGATTTAGAACAAAACTGGTGTGATGTTCATCTTCCAAAACCTGCCAGGGACAGACACCTATCCCTGCAAACCTGCTAGGGACATTCCCTTCAAAACATGATGCTCTGTCCACAGCAGTGAACAGCAGAGAGTAAGGCAATACATTCATCAAACGAAATATTAATTAATTAATTGGTCCTTAAGCAATTACTCTTTACCATGTACACTCACCAGGACAAAGAAGCACTGAAAAAGAGACTCTCAAAACACAGCATCAAGCTATTTTATAAAGCATTTCTGCCAAGCAGAAAAACAGGGATAGAAAAATCCCCACTCATTGAGGAGGCAATTTTGGCAGTTCCTGACTGAAGTACCCTACTTTAAAATTCCATTTAAGAAAACAAAAGTCAACTTTTTTTTCTGCAATGGATGAATATTACCAAAAGAATTACTCTCAAATATCCAAGAAAATTTATCATGAGCTTGCTGTTCTTGTCACCACTGCCACAAACAGGAGTCAATGTTTCCATTTTGCACACCAATCCCCTAAATCATGATACACCTTCCTGCATGAAATCCAGTTAACTGTAGAGCAAGCCAGGATGCCATCGTTCTAAAGGGAGAAGCTAAATCCAAACCAAGCACTTCTGAGAACAGAAGGTATTTCAGAACAGTCTCAGCACACGAGCTCCTTGTCTCACACAGCACTCCCTGAGTTATAATCCCATTCAACTGCTCATTTAGGGGAAAGCTAAAAAAAGGAGTGAACGTCATGAAAACTGAGAACCAAATCTGACAGCATCCAAAAGAAGCTATAAATAATGTGCTAAAAGTATGATTTTTTACATCAAAACAATGTTGCATTATAGAACTTGTGCAAAGTGTCTGCTTATACAAAAGGTTACACTGGTTTTATGTAGTAGTTTAAACACTATGATACGTAATAATGCATTTGATTATTTTATGTGTCATGAAAAAGACTCTTCCTAATTGAGTTCATGTCAACTTCAAAACTCCTCTCAGAATACTCAACTTCTCCAGATTAAGTAGTGCCTGGACTGAAAAGTTATATTGGCACAATTAAAGAACTCACACTGATATCAATCATATACCTGTAACTAGAAAACAGAATGTTGAAAAGTCTCAATATTAACATTGTAAAAATCCTGCATTTTAAGTATTGGTTTATACTCATTAAATGAAATTTCCTTTTTGGCGGGGAATAAAAATTTTATCTTGGTCTCTCCCACTAAAATCTGTGTTGGAAGAAACAAGAGGAATAGTTCAAAATTAAGAAGTAAGACAAGAAGCATTAAAAAAAAAAAAAAAAGCAAGATAACCAAAACCCAAATATCCTGTTTAAAGACCTTGTGCTGCATTACATTACTTTTTATCTCTTTCTGAAGGAAATACAGATTTTAACTGGTGTTTCCAAAACATGATGGTTTGCGTTTTTGTTTGAGGAAAATAGGAAGAGCATTTATTAAAAGAAAAAGAGTAGCTGACATCTACCCATCACCCTGAGTAAGGTGTGAGGAACAAAATGCACCCAATGGAATGGAATGGATCTCAAGTTAAGAGCCAGCCTAACTGTCCCTCATTTGCCAAATAACACCTCGACACAATTCCAGAATTTTGTTTTGCTTCCAATTTATGCTGTACATGCTTTAATAAGCAGTGGGTATGAAGTTATTCACCTGAATAAATTACTTTTTTTCCCCTTATTCTTGGATTTGTTTTGATTAGTGTACTCTCTTGTGCCAGGCCTGTTTTAATATTTATTAGGTAACTGGTTTTCTGCGAAACAATTTAGAAATTTAAGCTGATCAAAGTGTGCTCCTACCCAGAAGATGAAGGAGGAAACTCTTTGCAAAATCAAGCTGGCATCCACATGTATATGAAGTAGTAAAAAGCGCCAAATATATTTGCAATTTTTGTAACAGTAATGGGACAAATTTCACTCCAAGAACTGTTTGAGTTTGATTTACAATTCGTGCATTCTGTCTTGGCTCAAAACATAACTGATAAATACTCCTCACACTCAGGTGCCCTAGGGACCCACAGGAGGGTGTCCTGGAGGGTGTCCTGGTCTCAGCAAGCATAAAGAGTTAATTTATTTTCAGCAGCTGCTACGGTTCCATGTATGGAATGGGAATAATGTTGATAACACACTGATGTTTTGGTTTTTGCTAAGTTGTGTTCATCCTAAGTCAAGGACTATTTTTTCGTGTCTCATGCTCTGCCAGTGAGGAGGCAAAAAAAAGGCTGAGAGGGAGCACAGCCTGGACAGGTGACCCAAACTTCCAAAGGACTATTCCACACCAAAGCATGCCATGCTCAGTATATAAACTGGGGGAGTTACCCATAAGAAGGACTGATCTGGGGTCAGGAATGAAGTCTAGCATCAGTCAGAGGAGGGTGAGCAACTGTATTGCACTTTGGGCTTTTCTCTTTCCTTTTATCTTACCTTTATTATTTACTATTACCATTGTACCTTACCTGGTTTTCAATTTTTATATCTCAACCTGCAAGTTTAATTTCTGAATCCCGTCCCCATTACACTGAGTAGGGGTGGGGGTGAGAGAGCAGCTGTGTTGTGCTTAGCTGCCAGCTGGGCTTAAGCCTGGGTTCTCCCAGGAGCTGGCCCTGAGCTCAGCTCAGCTCAGCTCCTCACTCTCACCCAGCTCTGCCTCCCAAGCCAGGCAGAGGAAAATTCAGTGCATGGAACTTGGAGCAAATCAAAGCCCTATGACAATGACTCTGACTGCAAAGAGGAACAAATTTTAACGTGAGAAAGCAAACCAGTTTAAGAGAGTGCTTGTCTACCTGCTCTATGGAAAATCTGCTCGCTGTCCTCCCACATCAACACATAACTAAGAACAGGCCTTTCAGGACACTACTTCTATGCCAAATTATGTACAAGAGTGCTACACGATTTTTGCACTCATCCTCATACACATAATACTAAAATTGCTGCTGTAGGGTCTTTTGGTAAGTACGGGAATTTGTTATTTGAGCGCTAAGTCACTACCAAAAATTTTATGTCTAAAGATCTAAAGCCTAAAGAACTAAATTTTATATCTAGAGACCTGTCTAAAGAAGTTTTCATCCTCATCTTTAACTGTATTCTTCTTAGATTGTATTTCTTTTAGCACAATAGGAATGAAAACCATCTGAACAGGCCGGTGCATGTGTCTCCAGGTCATCTGCAGGCATACCAGGCTCGGTGAGTGCCAGAACAGCAGACTAAAAGAACTCAGCGCTGAACTAAGACTTTACTGCAGCAAATACCAGAGAGGCAGCGACTTTAACTTCAGTGTGATGCACGCAGTAACCTGCTTGCAGGAAGCTGCTGTCCGAAAGCTCAGTATGGGGCACTTCAAACACCTGTCTAATTGGACATGCCACCGAAACTTTGTTTTAACCACCTTCGCCCACCGCGGGTGGTATTCACTGCAAGGCCACCTGCATTACCCAGGGCTCTGCTCCCAGGCACGGCGAGAGGGTCGGGCGGCCCCTGGCCTAAACTACACCAGCACCACACCGGGCGGCTCCGGGGCGGTACCAGTTCCGTGCTCGGGGCCGCGCCAAGGCGGGAAGGTTGTGTGGGAGGGAAGACGCAGTCCGGCCCCCCGTGACGAACCTTCCCCATGGCCTGTCCCTGTGGACCCACACGGAACCGAGCACACAGGGAGGGGCCGGGCCTACGGAGCGCTCGAGTCGGAGGAGCGGCGGCCGCTGCCCCCTCTGCCCGCCCGGCCCGGCACAGGAAGTCCCTCCGCCCGCTCCTCCTCCGCTCAGGCGGCTCCGGCGGGGCCTGCGCGGCGGGGCCGCGGCTCCCATGGCGGCGGCGGCGGCGCTTCCCGCGGGCACGGCCGGGATCGGGGCCAGGATCGGGACCGGGATCTGGACCGGCCGCCTCCCCTCCCCCCCAGCCAGCCCTCACGGTCCCGCAGGCGCGCGCTCCCCCCCGCTCCCGCCCTTTCCCCGTGAGGCGGCGCGAGCCTCGAGCCCGCGCGTGGTAGCCGGACGATTCCACAGTGCCCCCCCCCCCGCTTGGGGGGGGGGAGGGAGACGAAGGGGAAGGCGGGAATGATCTGATGGGATGACCCGGTACCTTGGGGTCGATGTCTCCCACCACGAAGAACTTGACGTCTTTGAACATCTCCTCCGGGACTTTCAGCTCTTCCTCGTCGTCCGCCAACATGGTCCCGGACGGCAGCAGCGGGCGCTTCCCCCCTGCCCGCTATTTCCCCGCGCTCACTGTAGAAAACCCGCCGGGGCCCGGGTCCCTCTCGTCCCCCTCCCCCCGCGGAGCCGCCGAACCGCGCGAGCAAGGCGCGCGCTGCGGGACACACCATCCCCCGCCGGGATGTAGGGGGGGTGGAAGCGGGAGGTGAGAGCCGCCCCCACAAAGCGTCTCCCCTCGCCCGATCAACCACCACGGCTGCTGCAGGGCCGCGCCCGCTTCTGATCCACAGGCGCTATCCCTGCTCCTCCCTCTTTCCTCGAACCGAACCGGCAGCCGGCTCCGAGTCAGGAGCTCCCCCCGCGCGGGATGCAATGGACTCGCCCCGAACGACAGAGGCGGGCAGCGGGGATACCCGGCCCCGCCCATTGGCGGGGAGAGCGAAGGGAGGAGGGAAGGGAACCGCCCAGGCCCCGCCCCCTCAGGCTCCGCCCCTTCAGGCACCGCCCCCTCGGCCCCGCCGTGAGGGGACGCGGGCCATGGCGGCGGGGCCCTTCAGCCGCCAGCGCCAGCCAATAGTTTTGGCGTGTATTCCAGCACCCAGCTCATCAGTGATCATGCCGACTGCTCCCGAAATCATAGCATACAACCGCTAAGGTTGGAAAAGACCTACAAGTCACGGAGTCCCACCGCAATAAGGCATTTTCCCTCAGAAATTGCAAAGCATCCATCTACATAGACAGTGAACCGTTCCCGCCGAGGGGGATGTATCTTACCTAACTATTTTAGATAACAGAAAACAAAAATTACCACTTTGTATAAGTTATGGTCAACAGAAAGAAACGAGCTCTTTCAGAGCCTGCTTCATGTCGTGTATTTTAAACATTGCTGCATTGACAAGGATGTTTAAAATATAAATATTAGATAATATAATTGTATCTATAGAATAAGCACTCTGCTTTCCAAAGGAGTTTGGGAACCCCTCATAATACTTCGATGTGGACAATATTTCCCTCCCATACTCGGAGCAATGTTAAGAGATGGCATTGCAAGACTTACTGAAATAAAAATAAAAATACAGGGCACCTACTGATTCCCTCCTGCCTGCAAGACCTGTCTCACTTTCCCAGGAGGAAACTGTATTTTTTTTACCTCTGTTATTCTTGAAACTATGGTAGAAATTATCGGTTTACAAGTAATTTATTTGTCCAGTCATCTACTGGATAAAATTTTACTGGATAAAGGCTTCACCCAGGTCCCCTGGATCTACACATGACATTGTCCCCTTTCTGCTCCAACTGTGTAAGAAATACCCAACCTATCACCTGTTCATTTTCCATTCCAGAAGGAACATTTGGCTGAAGGTTTTACTTTTTTGCCTACCTTCTCAATGAAATTTACTTTTTAAAAGTGAAAATCAAGTCCTAAAAAGGTCTAAAAAGTCCTTTTCTATAGTACACTTTCCTGTGTGGCAGGAAAAAAAGTAGAAATAATAACCATCTGCTTTTAAATCCATTTATCCATTTCTTTCAACAATTCATATTCTCATCTCACTTTCTGTCTTTTCTAATAATTCTTGTTTAGGGTAATTTTCTTCTGTGCCATGTATTTCCTGGACTGTCTTTGAAAAGATTTCTCTGAGCTCTGCTTTCCTTTATAGCCACTCTCCAGGCTGCCATGTCCAGCCTTTGCTTTCTTAGATCCCTAATTTTCACTCTTTCCAACTCCATCTTTGATCCATTTTGACTTCTTCACACTAAACTAAACTACTTTGACCAATATCTTCCTTCACCTGCAGCGAAATATTTTTCATATTCTTCTTGATCTATCAGATTTCATTAACACCACTGCTTCCTGAGCTTCCTTTCCTGTTCGATTTCATTGCCTCTGTAATCATCTGCATCTTCCAGCACTGGTAATTTTCACTTCTTTTCTTTGATAAATATAGCTATCTCTCAGGTTTCTATTCCACATTATTCTCTGTGTTCTTTTCTCTTCCTGAAGTCATTCATTATTTAGATGCATCTTTCTCAGTGTGATCACTAAATTGCCCTTTCCCACAGGAATACTTTCCTTATTTGTAAGCCCCTACACTATCACATATTCCCACTCTACAAGAAGAAAACCAAAGTTTTGTCCTTCAAGGGTTTGTCCTCTTGATTCCCCTTCTCTGCCTATTTTCTTGTTACCCTAATGAGTTCTTCTGGCCTTCCTATCCTTTGGATTTTCCAGAGTCACATAATTTTTGGTTCTCTGTACAACTCCAAGACAACAAGTATGTCAAAACAGGTGCTATGCTAATACTGGCAAAAAGCATAATGCAAACAACCTGCACACATTTTTCATAGCATTGCCCCTTCCAAAACTTTCAGCTGGAGTTGCAGCTATTGCATCTTGGATCTTCCATTAGTCAAATCAGAAGAATATGAGATGAATTTGCTACTTTAAATCACAACAATTTTTAAATTCTCTAGACTTAGAAGGTCAGATTACAGTGTCGAATCATTGAAATTCACTGCAAAATCAATTTTTCACAAATAAAAAGTACCCATGCATAAGGCTAATTGTAATTATCCTTAAGGGTAAATTATTGTTTTTAACTAATTATGACAAAAATCCAAGAATAAAGTGTAGTTCCACCCACAGTAGGGAAGTGTAAAAAAAAAAACAAAAACAAAGAAATGTTAAGAATTAACTATAATATGTTTTCCAGAAGAAAACTGTTTTATAAATTTGGTCCTGTATAGCAAAGAGAAAGTTGTTGTTGCCTTGACCTGGGATGTGGGACATGGACTTTTAGGTCTGTCCTCCTCTTCCTGAATGGAGTAAAAGCAGCTTCACTGAGGCACAGGCAGGGATGGCCACTGGGTGCCTAAATCCTCTGGATGTTCTTTAACCACAGAGCTTGCAATAGAAATGGGAAGAATGAAACCCTCCCACCCTCCCTCCCTCTAAATGAATAAGCAGCTCCTGGACAGAGCCCCAGAGCTGTGCTTGGTGAAAGCAGGAGGACTTGGAAAATCCTGCCCAACTCAGCAAATGCCAGGCAGGTGAGCAGCTGTGCAGCACAGCCACAACAGGAGTGTTTCTGTTATGTGCCATGAAAATGCACAGCAGCAACTCTACAAAAACCTGCCTGGTAGCAGCTTAAACCCCTGGCACTTCTAATGGCCCCGATAAGAAATTCTGTAGATCTCAGTACTGGATTGCACAGAGAGGCTGTTGTATTATCAGCAGTGTTACTAATCTTCTCACACAGAAATAGCTTTCTTTATTCACTTTTTTTTTTGTCTTCAAAATGACCACTCCCAGAAGAAAAGACTACTCCCATGAGTCACAATTTTTTCCCCTTGATTACCTTCTAAATAAGCAATGGAATTAAATTAATGAACATATTTTTTTATTTCTTTATGTATTTCATGAGTCACCTGTCAAGAAATTACTTAAATTCTAGTAATTAGACTATTTCTAACAAAAATTAATAATTCCAGTTTTTGTGTGATCTTCTTTCTGGACCATAAGAGTAGAAAACTAGATGGAAAAAGTAGGTTTTTGAACAAGAAAAATATGTTATTGAACAAGAAAAATATCCCCTGAATCTGCCAGAAATAAATTCTGGCTTCTGCTCACAGGTCAGCACACAGAACAAAGTCAAATCAGTGGGCTGGTCTCACTGCTCAGGTGTAGAGCAAAGTGCTCACCTGTATTTAGCCTCAATATAGATTTGTCAGGTTTTGAGGTAAAGCTCACCTGCACGAGCTGAGTGACAATGGGAGGAGGGGGAGCCCAACTAATCCTCTGCAAGCTTCTTCAGCCCCGTCCCAGGGACCACCAGCCCCATCCCAGGGACCACCAGCCCATCAAAGGTCCAAATCTGCAAGCCAGAGGAGGATCTTACCTACGAGAGCTCTGTACAGAGAACTCCATGAGCATGTTTCCAGAAGAACTGTGAAGTCATCTAAATTTTCTATTGGGTGTTGCTTGCACGAGGTGAAAGCCCACCAAGCTGACAAGATTTGTGCAGACAATTAGTCTTTGCTTATATAAATGCCTTATTTGTGTGCACAAATGATTATATGAAAAATTCATACGCACCTACAATATCATATTTAGGCGTAATTGCTTGTGAAAAAACAACAGCTTGGGGTTTTTTTTATCTTGTAGTTAATTAAATTCGGAGCTTAGATTAAATTGTATATTTGTTTTACTCCAGTGAGCAGAAGGCTTTCTGAGTCCTTTGTTAATAATACATACTTGTTTGGTAGCAGCTGGCTCTCTAGATGTTACTTTTCCAACAAAATATATCTTCACAAAGTACCCGGTGTTTTACAGAAGCTGATGTTAGTTTCAATATGCCTGGGAAGTTGTTGAAAATCCCAAAAGGCAGGCTGCCTGCATTATCTCCATTCCCACTGCTTAATGTGAATAAGATCTGCTTTTTAATCTGAATCAAAATGTGCAAAACAGGTACACAGAGGGCTCTGTTTTGGCTTGAGCTGTCTATGCATTTTTCCTCTTTTCTTCAGTGGGACTGCTTGCAATGGCAAATATGATTTATAATTAAAAACTTTCTTATTATCTGTACAGCAACACTGAATCCTAAAAGGCTCCCTTGGAACATGGTAGTTTCATTTTCGATTCTATTCTAATTCCAGAACTGCACTGAGAATCTCTTGTCATTTGCTTGACAGTTTTCTTTTTTAATATAGTAGTTACTAGGTTGGGGGTTTTTTTGGTGGTTTGGTTTTTTGGGTTTTTTTTTTGTTTGTTTGCAAGTGCCAAGTAGCAAGTTCTACCTTTACTATAACTGTGCATAAAGGAACACGGGGGAAAATGTTCTGATTAGCACATCTTAATGTAATGATATTTTTTGTCAGAAATGAGACATAGTGGTAAAAGAGGGGATATATTCCTTTGTTTTACCTGCTAAGGAATGTGAACAGTTCATTCACCTTTACTAATAAATTCTTTTTATCTTTCCCTCAGACTGCCAATAACCACCTCTATATAAATTACATACTTACTTATATATACATATATAAAGACATATAAAACGTTATAACACTATCTTAATCAGTTTTGGACCTGATTGTATTGCACCAGGAAAGAAGAATGCAAATCTCCCCAGTGCTCTGGGAAAGAATAAATAATTTGTCAGAAATAAAATGTGATATTATAATTTATAGACTCCATTCTTTGCACCTCAAGAGAAGTCCTTGCTTCTGCTCCAACTACAGTACCTATCAATTTCTGTGTATTTTCTGAGTTTCAGAAAAAATATTTGCGAAATATGGTGGATAATTATCCCTGTAGCCTTTCTTTGTAGCTTGTCAAGATTTGCATCATTTACAGGCTTTCCACTGGGGTAAATTACTATCAGAAAAACAACAGAGAATTTGCACAAATGCAAATTTTTCTTTGAGCCTGGTCTTTCATTCATGCAGGCTTGAAAAAAAGCTAATGAAACACTAAGTAACCAAAATTAATTTTTCTAGAAATTAGCAAATTTGGCATTATTTGTGCCAAATCCTTTTCATGTTATTCAAATAACACTAACACTGGTATTTATTTTTTACATTATTAATGCATAAATACAGAAAAAGGCAACTAAAGTTGGTGGCATTGCAGAGCATGTTACAGAACAGTGTGAAGAGTG